TGCAGGTCGGCCGAACTTTTCTCTCTCTCTCTCTGGCAGAGGAGATATCAATTCAGAGCCTCATTCTCAGTGAGCGTCACTGAACTGTAACGCCACATATAACAACTCCAGAGCCAGAGAGCTGCAGCAGACACACAGTGTGGTAGTTGCTGCTAGTCCAACCACCTCAGTCTATATTCACTTCAGACAGGTTTTCTGTGCAGGAGGTGTGTCTCTCAGTATTGGTGCTCCACCATCACATAAATGAAAGGCTCTACAGAGAGCCAAAGTCGTGTCACATCTGGTTAGTCTGTGTTCCACTAGGTTCAGTGACTCTGCAATCTCTCATTTAGCATTTTTTCATCAGCCATTGTAAGAAAACTAAGCATGTTCCTCTGGGGATTTTTTCACATTCTAAGACAAGGCACCAACCATTACAACACTTACTACTGAAAGTTTAAACATTTGTGGCCAATTAACAAATAATTTTTTTAGCACTGGGAAAACTACAGCTACCATGACTGCTTCGCAGCATGGCGGTCCACATATACGTCACTGTTATTAGACTCTCCTGGACTTCAGTGGCCCAAGTAGCACAACATTTAACTATGTGCTTCTGATATTAGTCTCATCTCTCTCAACTTATTAAGCTTTAAAAACATAAGAAGACGTGTAATAGTTACAGCCATCTTCTTAACTCGTGACCTCTGTTCATTTTTCCGGTAGGTCAACATGCATCAGCTGGTGACGTTCCAGCCTCAATGGGCTCGGCGTTCTGGGAAATGGTGTTCGTTAAAGCCCGGTAAAAATAAAAATATTATGCTACTGTCAATAATATGTTTTAAAGAAATATGTCATTATAGTGGAAGCAAATGTAGTGGAACTCACAACATAGTCTTGTTCCAAGGCTGGATTTTTAGTTAGCCTATTAGCCAGATTAGAAATCTCAATGGGAAGTTTTCTTTCTTCTGAAACACAACCGGGACGTTCTGGTTTCACTTCAGCTCCCTATAGGTGACCAGTTAGTGGACCCAAGGCGGCTGTGTTAACAAAGTAGTGACAGTATGGCAACTGTTGAAAATCGGTTAAATTGGCAGGCAGATAAAATGAATTTGTTTTGGGAACAGTAGCTGTACATCTAATATACTGCAACTAATCAGAAGACAGAACCAGAGTGCACTGAGTTCTTTAATATTAAATTTGTTATGAGTGGATATAATCATCAAGGTCATTCAGTATAAGAACTGACTTTTGGTATCATTCACGTCATTTGCTAATATAACAGAATCCGTTAGGATCTAAAGACAATACAGTGATTCCTAGCATTTATTTGAGTCTGTTTGGAGCAACATCCAGGTAACACCCTGCAGCCTAAACCAAATGCTGAAAATAATTTACCAACACTATTAACCCAGAAGTAATAGACTGAGTATCCAGGCGAGAGCAATTAAAACATAAAACCGTGTGCTGCTGTTTGGAGCCAGTCGCACATTCTGTTTCACACCACTGGTTTTTCATTGTAAGAGTTGGATTGTGTGTGCGGCGTTTCTCTAGGGAAGGAGGCACAGTCGCTGTACTATGAAAAACCCCTTTGCTTGTTTACCTTGAGTCTTATAGTCTAATAACTTTGAAAATACAAAAAAATATCTCACAGGTGTAAATGAGTTCTGGGTAATGTTTATTTTCCTTTGGTTATTAAGAAAATGTCTTTGAGCACTCTAGTCTTAAACATCTATTTATTATATGCCCCAGTAATGCACTGCTCACTGCACTCAGGCCTGTGGCTGTTGTCCTATCGGAGAACCAGAAAAACAATATTTTGTAACAAGATCTCTGTAAAATAATGCGGTTTTGTTTCCATGGTCATCTGAGGGCAGCTCATCCCCTCTAACTAATCCATCTTGACGTCCACCGCCAGTGTTACCTCCACCTTCTGTATTTAAAACACATGACCACCCTTTTTACAGCATTCTCACTATAGAGCCAGAAGGAAAAGCTGTGAAAATGAAGACGTTTCTTCTAATTTCACACTTTGTGCTTGATCGTTAGGTTCTTATTATGCCCCATTTGCTTCCCTCCACTTGCTGTGATGAAAGCGGGGCAAAAAGGTCATGACAGGACAAAAAGGGGCCCTCCATCAAAACACATTTTGTTTGGGGTCTTTTTAGACTGGCTCAGCCCTCCTCCCCACATCACTGCCAACACTTTCCCCTGCAGTTTCCCTTGTCTGCGTCCTCATTAGCAGCAACCCCCACCTGTGTCCACATTCATTTTATTAAACTGCGACGCTTTGTGCTCAGTAGAAGTGGACTGTCCACTCTTGTTTAATTGGCCCACAGCCTCCCCACTGTTCCTCAATAAGTGAGGAGGTCAATGGCTGCTTATTATCTGCGATGGTGACGTCTACTGGTACAGGCCAAAAGACAGATGTATCCTTAAACCATACCACTAAGAACCTGTAGCTTGTATAATCATTCAGTCAACAACAGTCTGCTTTGTGCTTAACTAAAAAAAACACTGTGTACAGTACATCACTTAGTGCAACAGTAGAACTTGCATCAAAATGTACTTAGATTTTCTGTGTGCACAAATATTTGGTTTACAAAATTAAATTAGCCACATTACCGTAAAATGCGCTGCTAATTAAACATAGTGTTTTCTTTCCAATTATTCTGTGAAGGCGATTAAAGGGAAATGGGCCAAAGCTGTGTGCCTTCTGAATGTGTACTCTTAAAACAATATTTCATTTTTGTTAATCTGCATCCTCCTTTCTCTCTTAATTATTTTTGGTTGCACATTGGTCTTTTCTGTTTAGGTTGGCTTTTGTGGTGTTTGGGTCAAACAGAGCATCACACTAGCAGTGATTAATTAGGTCATGAGAATTAAGAAGTAAAACGGTTCTAATTAGTCAGAGTGTTTGACAGAATGCTGGGTAGCAACAACAAGGGTGACTTTCTTCTTCAGAACCGACAAAAGGATCTGTCAGAACCCTCTCTAAGTGGGTACTAATTTGAGAAATTATATCAGCTGTGAAGTGAAGAGTGAAGGCGGAGCTGCAGAAGCAGCAGTGTGTGCAGCTGATGCAAAGTGGCTCTTGGGGCTGGAGAACAGGATTTTTCTTTGGCTGAGATGCCGAGGTCAAGGTTGTGACCTGCTTGGTGGTTAGCGCATGGTGTTTAAAGTTGGTTTGATCCATGGCCAAGGGGCAGGACACCGCAGAGTTTGTGTCTGGAGTCTGTACAGTACTCAAATTGGTGTGCAATATGTGGACTTTGAAGTAGAACAGCATGCCCAGAAAACCAGAGTGAAATTTGCCCCTTGACTATTCTTTATACGATTACCTGTGTAATATGATTATGCCAGTTTAGCGTGACTTTGATTATGGAAACTCAGTGCTTCACTGGACTGAAAAGCTTTCATTGCACCGTCAATACCCCGTTAGAGTATGTGCTATGAATGGGTCTTGTTAGGATGCAATAAAAAGTAGGACACACTGTTATATAAACCAGAACCTCTCTGTGCTGTTCAGGTGTCTTAATGTCACATCTCGAGTTTCTTTTAAAAGTATTACAGCATGTGAATGGTTTTCTCAGTGACAGAGCAGAAAAGGATGGGCTGAACATTTATACTGACTGTAGAGTTTCTGTGATTTCTTTTAAAATTCCAACATGAAAATAATGGTACTCGGATGAAAACTACCATTTAACCATTAATTGAAGCTTCACATTCTAAAAGATTGAAAAAAGCCAAACTGATAGATAATATAACCCAAGTAGGATCTTAAGTGGCAGCTTCATAATGTGCTGGCATTTATTTGTGGGATTTTCCTGTCAAAGTCAGCAGTGGTACAAAGTTCCAGGCAACAGATGACACTCAGTTCACACTAGGGGTGTAACGGTTCTGAAACGAAACCGAGACCCAAATGTCCACCGCCTGGGCACCTGGGTACATCTGCCAGTGTTGGGCCAAAAAGTGATTGTCTTTTATAAACTGTCCGTGGTCCGTCTGTGCACACGCAGCCTGTGAACACGCATTGGCCACTTTTTCTACACATACCGTACAGCTGCTTTTGTGGTGATCAAACCGTAATAGAATGGAATGCAAAATAACTGTGCGGAAGAACGAAGGCATGTCTTTGTTAAACCGGGATAATTATAGCCAAAAGGATCCGTAGCAGTTTAGAGTGCAATCAGGTAACTGCTGGCTATAGGCTGTATCCTATAAAGGCTGTAGGTAGGTGGTTATATGCAACATTGTTTTACTGCAATTATGAACTGTTTTGGTACAAAAACACAGCTTGGTTCGCCTCACAGTACTTTTATTTCACTCTTGTGGATAATAATTTATAAACTATCAATCATCTAGTGCTTTTGCATGTGTTAAGGTACCTCTACATTGCTAATATATCCAGTAGAATGCATTGATTACAACTAACATCTTGATATTGAATGGAGTTAATTTTTCTCTTAATTTCCTCTGGTGTTTTTCACTAAAATAAGTAATATTTTTGTTATGAAGAACAATTATAGACTTCAAATTATTGGGGACATGTTGAAAATGTATTTGTGAGTAGCCTTGTTAAAATGCCAGTATTACTGTACCTCAGGAAATGGGAGGACTTGCTTCATTTATTCCCTTAGACTTGTCAAATGTATCCCTGTAAACAGATTTAGTAGACATATTTTGTTATATCTTTTGTTCTTAATATTATAATTTTGTAATCACAATATTGTGTGAAACTGATTACAGTCCATAATCAAAGTGTGCATGGAAATGGTCCTGTTATTGCTGCAAAATGGGCATCAGTGGGAGCACTGTAACAGTTTATATTAATAAAAAAGTGTGGACCATTTACTGCTTTACAGCTGAATTGCACTTAATTGAATGAATTGGTTTAACTATGTGCCCCAGTTACAGATTTTCTTCCACAAAATTGTGTATTTAATTTATTCTCCTTTTCAGGGTAGTGAGATGCAGAAATGTTGACTCTCTCTTTATGTGTGTCCGTCCCTGGTCAACAGTGGGAGGAGGTGAGCGGCTATGATGAAAACATGAACACCATCCGGACGTACCAGGTCTGCAATGTTTTCGACAACAATCAGAACAACTGGGTACGGACAAAGTACATCCGGCGTCGCGGTGCACAGCGTATCCATGTGGAGATGAAGTTCTCAGTGAGGGACTGCAGTAGCATCCCCAATGTGCCGGGCTCCTGCAAAGAGACGTTTAATCTGTATTACTATGAATCCGATGCTGACACAGCCACCAGAACCTCGCCGGCTTGGATGGAGAACCCCTGGATCAAGGTGGACACAATCGCAGCAGACGAGAGCTTTTCCCAGGTGGACCTCGGAGGCAGAGTGATGAAAATCAACACTGAGGTTCGGAGCTTTGGCCCTGTGTCACGAAATGGCTTCTACCTGGCCTTCCAGGACTACGGTGGCTGCATGTCGCTCATTGCTGTTCGCGTCTTCTACCGGAAGTGTCCACGTATCGTCGCTAATGGGGCGCTGTTCCAGGAGACGCTCTCGGGGGCAGAGAGCACCTCCCTGGTGGCTGCAAGAGGTGTTTGTATCCCTAATGCAGAAGAGGTGGATGTGCCCATTAAGCTCTACTGCAATGGAGATGGAGAATGGATGGTACCCATTGGACGCTGTATGTGCAAGGCTGGGAATGAGGCTGTGGAGAATGGGACTGTTTGCCGAGGTATGTTTTGCTCTTATTATGTTTATATCTTGCCTGTTAAGCCTAATGAACTCAACTTCTCTGACATCGTCATAGAATAGTCCAACCACTAGAGGATTCAGTCTGTTTCTCAATGAACATTAAACATGTAAGCTGGTCCAGGGAGTTGTTCATTACCATTCAGTTGATGGTATAATCTAAAATCAACAATGGTCATGTGCTGAATATCATCAAGGACAACATGGGAGTTCTGAGCTGCCAGAAGAAGCTGGCTCCCCACAGGTCGTAAATCCCATCAGCTTGTCATCTTCCCTAGTAATAACCAGAAAATATCCAAATATAATACATCTCCATTCTCGGCTGACATTGTGCTGCAGCTAAAACAAAACAAAAAGCTAATGAGAGTGATTAACGTAAAACATTGACAGTGGATCTTCAGAACCATTTGGGGTGTACACCATCTCACAGAATATGCTGCTGTACATTTCCATCATTGATGCAAACAACAAAGAAGCACTCAGTTCATGCTGTTATCTCTTTATCTCATAAACGATCTTCAGCTAACCGCTGACATCGGTGGTGTCTGTCTGTCCACTGGCTGCAGTGAGGTCACAAATCCAACAGTGACTTTCATTTTTTCCTGGTGCTAATTTAAATCATGGACTTAATGTTAGTTATTCGAATACTAAAATTGAAAACTGATTACCTACCCAACGAACATATAATTGAATATTTGGGTCCAATATTTCATTATTTTCTTAGACAGGATCATGATCCACAATCTTATCACAGTTCTTTTGAAGTGATTGAACAGCACAACCAAACTTATTTTATTTAAAAAATAAACTGTACAAGGTAACAAAACCCAATAAAAAAAAAAATAACCGGAATAACCTGGTCCCGGATAAGCGGAAGAAAATGGATGGATGGAACCGGAATAACAGACCAGTGTGACTAGACCACAAATCAGCAGTTGTTGTTATTGTGGAGTACTACAGCAGCAGAATGGCCTTGTTGGAAAATATTTGTTGCTGGGTGTCTCACACTGCAGATCTACAATTTTGAGCATCATTTTGAAACGCTCATTTTTCCACAGTGTTTTCGAGGAATCAGGTAAAATGTCACTGCACCGTTACCTCGTTCCAGCACTTACCTGTCTTGTCATGATGTCGATAGTTGTTTTTAGCCGTGTAGCTGCTGGCTGTGTAGTTGTAGCTCATGCATGCACCTGGCATCCTCTCACTGATTGACTGCCAGCATAGTCTTTCAGGTACTTTCTTTTGAGTTGATTAAAAATGTTCATCGTATTACAAACGGCATCTTTTTTACGTGTGCACATGCCTGTTGTTTGCGCCGTCCAAACCAGTTCCATATTACCAATGTGGAATTTTTAGGGACAGACTCCTGTGTTGACATCCCTGCCGCTACGTTGTCAGATAGGGAATGTGAAGATGCATTACACAGCACTGTATCACAATACAGACGATCTCTCTGTAGGGGCAGATTGTGGATTTTAACTCTTCACAATCTAACATCGTCATATTGCACACCCCTACTGTGTAGAATTACATTTCACTATGGGAATTTTGTCACTCCAGAAGGTGTAGGGCCTTATACATTTGAATGTTTCTTTTATTTCTTTATTTTTTCCAAAAATAACAATAGGTCAGTGTATTTCCGTCACTTTTGCTTAATAGAAACCGGAAGAAAATGCTGATTTTGAATCTGTAAAATTTCAGTGCTAATCTTTTGTTGGAAGAATGGCTCCTTCCATCCATGAGGACAAAGAGGATATTTTTCAAAATTGCCTGCATGTTCCTATCAATTGGAATCCCTCGGAGGCAAATCAATTCGGCTTTTCAAAACATCAATGTACCCAACGTTTACCTGTGCCATGCCCCTATTCACACTCTGGCAGGTGGTATTTGGTCAGCGTGCTCAGAAACCCTGATCATTTGAAACACTGCGACAGTGTGTAGCCTGCAGACTGGAGCTGTGCTGCTACTGCCCAGCAAACCACCCATCTGCGTTTCAGATCTGTGTGTTGCTCCGTCTCTTATGCGCGCTTGTAATTACAACACATCCCCCAGTGTCTGTGTGCTGGGAGGGGAAATGTGATGGGTGCTGCCTCACAAACACTGCCAGGCCTGTTCAATGACTACTAATGAGGACAGGCACCAGCTCCTCCTTAAGGAGTACAGGCCAATAAGAGGCACGTGTAGATAGCTACCCTGCTATAGGAAGCCACTTTGGATCTTCATCCGTGCATAATTATACATATATTTTCTTTGTGTGGGTTAAATGGCATTATACATCTAATTGCTGTCTGTTTAACAGGGAAAGCATGTTTCATATCCTCGCAACACAGATCATCTGACTTTTAAACTAAGAAAATTGATTCTTTGACCACACTCCTGTTTATTTTACTTTACCTGTGGTATACTGGTTTTGTTATTTAAAGTCCACATACACATGTACACAGGTTTTACTCTCTCCTGTCACTTTGTCCCTGAGCATCTAATGGACTCACTGAATATTAAAGCTTTATGAGGAGGGTGCATTATCTGAGAGTGCAGTTGTGAGATGGATTATTTTTGGCTCCATATGAGCTTCGGTGAAAAGATTGGAGAAATGCGTGTTTTACCATGAAAGAAAATAAAATTGTTGCACTTAAAAAGTATCTTATTCTGCAGTTCTCCTATTGTTCAGACGCTCTTTTTGATGGACAGCAGCCACCAGTTGGCCTGCTCTCTAGTCATCTTCCTAAACACTGAAAGCTGATATCAGTGCTTGAAACTGCGGTCAGCCACCACCTTTCAACTGCCAGAAGTTGGATAATGAAAGATGTGCCTTTGACTGATAATATGGAGTAATGAGTTGATTTGTGAGAAGGTTTCTAAGATATCATTTCATAGGTGGATTATGAAGCCATGGAGAACGTATAAAGCAGCCAACATGAAAGAGATGATTTGTACTGTAATATTAATAACACAACTAATGCTTTGTTCCAACATCTCTGCAACTAGAGGTGTAATTACACATGTAACAATTAAATTCTTGGCAGGGATCCCTGGCAAATAATTATGCTGTCAGGAAATCTGTCAAAATATTGACAGTAGAATGGGGTTCTTACATCAAATTACTGAGGCCCTTTTTGCTGTGGCTGTCTTACAAGTGAGATTATGTTTCATGTATAGGAAGTGCTGGGAGAGAAGGAACCACACCAGGGCCTTTCAACATAGATGGCCTTGAAAAGAGAGATCTGATTTCCCCTTAGAACCTTGAGGAGATGGTACACTACAGAGACATGCGAGGTCCTGTTCGTCCTTGCTATTCACTTTAGAATAAAAAGCATTTTCTTCCAGTGGGACACAATGGGTTAACAATGCCCATATGTGCTTTTTCACTGTCATCTGATCATCTAACGCCATTTTATTGTGACTTCAACGGTCTTGACTGTGGGAGTGTGGCTTATGTTATGGAGCGGTGAAGATGAACTAATAACGGCTTCATTCATTTTTTGGTTACATTTTTCTTAATGACTGTATTTTTAGGGGGAAAAGAAAAGCATAGAAAAACAAGCAGCGTAGTCTGTGTGGCACTGTGGCCCAGATTTGTAGGCCCTGTCCACACAGCCTCTGGTATTTAAAAAAAAACATAGCTTTTCTTTAGGTTTCATCCGCATGCAAACTACGTTTTAGGTCACTGAAAGCAGAGCTTTTGGAAAACTCTGGCCAGGGTGAAGATTTTTAGAAGTGCAGTTTTCAGTGCTGTGACAGTGTCTACCAGGATAATACATAAGGATATTTTGCTTGTATAAGTGTGTTCAGGTTCAGGAATTTGAAACTGACATAGTGTCTGCTCATTCATCAACTTTTAGAGCTGTTGTGTGGCAGCATTTGAGTTTTCTTGTTTCAAGAAATGACGTGGGTGTAAAGGAAACCCACAAAGAATTTGCAATTGTCAGATGAAGGCAATACTGTCCCCGTTTAGGACTGAGACAGTCCTATATACACCTTGCAGAAATAGTCGGGACACAACTGTGCGCTTCATTTTAATGGAGATGGGCAAACAAATTGGACACACAAATCCAAACCAACCACTTATTAACCACCCTTAAAGTCTTCTCTCTTGAAAAAGTAGAGCATGATGTTTGTAAAACACCTCCAGTAAAGCACAAATCTCACTGTAATGTGGGTTGTCCTGTTGTAGTTTCACGTCGTCTTCCCCTTGTTCTGGTGCGCCAAACAGCAATTTGCTCACTGCTGCTCCCAGTGGTCGGTCCAGGACTGAAACTCCGACCACTGTTCAGCACGGCCACCAAACAGAGAAAGTTAAACCTGCTATAATCACTGATTTTGCACTGTGAGTATGACTTGTTTTGTCTACAACATGCAGCTTCTGCAATAAAATATTATTGTATCTTATCTACTCGCTGCTGGCTGCTGCATTATTTTTATTTTTGTTTTTGTTTTGCACTTGTACAAACAGTTCTGTCATTCAGTGCCAGTGACAATTCATGCCAATTTTTTGTACACGCTAATGTCATGGCTGGCTACTTTTATTTTAATAAAGATGGAAAGCAGCAGTAATTTAGATGAAAAGGAAAATTTTTATGATAAAATGCTGATTTATTATTTAGTAAAGAGCAGTTTTTCTTTAGTTTTTAATATTGTGAAATATGTCCTATCATGGACTTTTTTATTGTGGCATTATCAAACTGCACGTTTTTGGTATCATTACATTCCTGTTATATACCATCAATATATCTTTTGAAATGCGAGTGTGTTTAAATAATAACATGCAGTGCGACGCTAAGATTCAGATCTACTGCAAATTCTCCTGAACATGTACAACCGGCCCCACAGTGGGTCAACAATCCATATGAATGATGAACATTTTTAGATCATGGTGTGGAGAATTTGAAACAACACTTTCCTGGTGAAGTCCACTTTAGTGGTGGGTAGTTCAGTAGCTGTTTGGAAGCAAGGTTCCTGCTGTTGCACCAGAGCAATTAGATT